AATATATATATATTATATATACTATAATATATATATGTTATATATATATTATATATATAATATATATATGTTAATTATATATATTATATATATAATATATTATAGTTCGTATATTTTCAAACTTACTTGTTGGTAACTGATGCGTATTGGATTCGTTACTCTCGTTGCTGTGGAAGCTGGACGAGTCTGGAACCTCGCTGCCAGGTACCTCCGTGATATTGGGTAAAGGATTCTGACTCGGCCTGACCCAGTCTGAGCAGTCCCAGTGATATCCTAAAAGCATTGCAGACAACGATTGTATTCTGTATATGTTACATGCGATGCGGTACAATAAGCGCGATGAAGAAGAAAGGCAGACAAGGCAAAGAGAGTAGCACAACTCAGGAACGTGACAGTGCAAGCAATTAAGCGAAAAACCCAAAGATCTATACCGAGTGTCCGAGAAGTCGTGTACTTTTTATATCAAAGTTTTTTTTTTAATAAAGAACTTCGAATATGTTTTATTAAAATTGTTCAACATTTCAATCCGATATATATATATTTCAATTTTGGTAAAACTTGCGCGCGATTCACAGGACACCCTGCATCTCGAGCAATACAAGCGGGAGGCTGTGTCGACTTACCGCCAACGATGCGAGGATCATCCTCAATGGACGTGACGGAGGCGACGGAAGACCCAACCGCATGAGGCGTCCGTCGAGAAGAGTTTAATAGAAGTCCTCCAGTGGTCAGCTCCGGTACCACTGGGCTCGCTCGTTTCAGGTCTGTTAGTGCACACAATACGAATACGCTGGTGTTAATAGAATAATTCACTACACGCCCGACCAAGTCAGAGCACGGCAATATGGAGAGATTGCAACAGGAGAGAGAGAGAGAGAGAGAGAAAGAGAGAGAGAGAGAGGAGAGAGAGAACTTAAATAAAAATCAGTAAGAAAACTTCAAGAGAAAAATAATTATGAGGATGAGAGATGAAAACAAGGAAGCGCCTAAGTGTTCCATCTTTTACAATGCATGCCACAAGCAAAATTAACATTAAAAAGCTATCGGATGGAGGAGGGGATATTTTCTTTTTTGTTTACTGACGCGTGACGACTTACCGTTCTTGATCTTAGTAGTATCGGTTATGAAGGAAGCCAGCTGCATCTGTTCCTGCCAAGTGGGCTTGTGAAGACTGTCCGTGTCACTACCAGTTGCGTTCCCGCCGACCGGATTAGCGAGGGTCAGGGACGGAGGTGGTACGGGAGTACTGCGGTTCAGATTTCGCAAATAATCCGGCGGAAAGTTCTCTAACTCGTCGCCTGCGCTACCGTAGCTGCGCAAGGTGTCCAAGTTGTTTAAGGCCACCGCGGCCGAATTACCGTATGTCACCGGCTCGTTATTCGAGCTCGGGGTGTAGGAGGCGGGTCTAGGGGGACATTGGGGAGGTTCTCTCTGTAAAAAGAATAATCACACACAAAGATCTTAGAGAGGATCGCCGATCGCGACGAGGACATGGGAGGGAGTGCGTTATCGCTGGTATAAAACCGAATAATCGCAAATAAAAAATAAAACAGCTTCGAGAGTAATTACTAACTAAACAGCATGGATGAAGGCATTAGATCTTAATCGTCAATAAGATTAAGAGGAAAAAGTAGATATTGCGATGTGATTAAAAATATTCTTACGCCGATGTTGAAATAATGCCTTCAAATGAATATATATGATAGCTCTCGAAAGCTCATGCTTTGTTTTACAGTATGCACGAAGCTCAAGATGATGATAATTTACACACACGTAAATAATACCTGTATAACTTCCAAATTGCTCAGCTTCGAGCTGCGCTTGAACTCGTGCTCGTGCGGTCTCGCGGAATTCAAAACGATCTGTTTCCGGGTCTCGTTATTAATGTTGTTGGCGCGCGCTCTGGTCCGTTTCATCTTGATTCGTCGATAAGTAAAGAATATAATGATGAGCAATAATATGTTAAGCAGCACCGCGACCCCAATCCACATGAGATGGTCCCAAGTGATGTTGAAGTGACCTGATATGATCGGCGTGGAAAAGGCCGGGTTGCCGCAGTTCAGTCCAGTCATGTTCGGCGGACAGATGCACCTGTACGTGCCAATTTCGTTGACGCAAGTGCCGCCATTGGTGCAAGGGTTCGCGTCGCATTCGTTCACGTCTGTCTCGCAGCGTTCGCCGGTAAAGCCCTGACACTTGCATATCGGACCGTTGTTGCCCTCCTCGCACACACCGCTGTGAACGCACGGATTCGGACTGCAATATCTGCCGAACTCGCATCGTTTGCCGCTTAAGCTCGATCCAACGCACTCGCACGTGTAATCGCCACCCTCCGGCACGATCTTGCAACGTCCGCCGTACAAACAGGGCGACGAGGCGCACGGATCCGTGTCAATTTCACAGGCAAAACCCGTGAATCGACTGTGACACTGACATTCGTAGCTATCGCCACCGTTGTCTTTGCAAGTGCCACCGTTCTGACAAGGCTGCGAGCCGCAAACACCCGGTGGCACCAAGATCGTGGCCGTGTCACAACTGAATTCAACGTTAGCGAAACGTTTAAGTATCGCGACGCTGCTGGCGCCGCTCATATGCAACGGCACGGATACCCGAGCGATTCTAACGTCGTCCATACAGCCAACGAAACCACGTTGCACATCCTCGAAACCGATGATTGTCGGATGTTGTTTCACCTCAGCGCCCAGATACAAATCGTCCGACTGTAGATTCAAGATATCGTTGATACCCGGTGCGGAACCTTGAGCAATATGTTTCCCATCCACGGTCAATCGGGCGCTGTTACTTTCTCGTTCAAGTTGAATCTCGTGCCACTGACCGTCACTAACGTATACGCTGCTCACCCTAATCAGACCTTCGCCGCTACCCAAATCGAATTTGTACTGTATCACACCGTTAACCACCTCTAAGATATTGTAATCCACCTTTCCAGCTGCGTACATCAGGTTGCCGGTTGGTTGCATCGTTCGAATTCTTAATGACAAACTGAGACGATCCTCGATTGTTTGTCGTATCAATGCTTTGTCAATCTTGTAACGCGCGTAACTCTTGCCGCTAAAAGATATGGGATTTCGTGGAATATAACACGATTCGTCGTGACACTTGGAGATGTCGATGTCGCAGGTCTGACCCGCGAATCCCTCCGGACATTGGCAAGAGTATCCTTGCACGGACGAGTCCGGCACACAAACTTTGAACAGAGGACAAGGATCTCTGGCGCACTCGTTTACCACCACTTCGCAATAACTGCCGGCGTAACCTTCTTTGCAATTACATTCCATCTTGTGTTTGTGTCGCGGCGACGCAAAGCTCATCACGTCGGTGGACACGATCATGATCTGCGTAGGATCGAGAACGATCTTGTCTTGGCAATCGCCGTAGAAACAGTAACCTTTGTTACACTTAAATCTAACAATCTCCTCGACGACCAACTTCGTCGACTCTTCCAGTTCCTCCACGTGTTGGTTCAACGCTTCGCGTATGCTCTCCGACGAGTAGAAATTCGACGTACTCGCGGGATTCGACGTTTTCTTCACAGCAAACAAAAGATCGAGATCGTTATGGACCGCCTGACGAATAGCTCGCGATTTTATCACATTCACTTCGTCCGTGGACGGTTGCACGCTGATGATGACAATGTCCTTGAGGCGACAGTTCATTGAGTTGCGAACAGTTCTGACGAAACCTTTGCGATGGCTCAACATAAAATCCTCCGGACTGACCTCCCGGAATCTTACTATTACCGAATTCTCGAGCATTTTGTCAGTTATCAAATCAACGTTAATTTTCACAATAGAATACGAATGAAATTTACCATCCGTCACACTGACGTTGATCTTGTATTCGCCAATATCCAGATTCGGCAAAGCTACCAAAGTTCCGTCGATCTTGTCTATTTGAAAAAGCTCACTTGGGATCGGTAAGGACGGCACCAAATTGAAAAGAAGCGTATCGTATTGATCCTGATCGGTCGCGTGAACTTTTCCAACAACACCACCGGGATACTCGTCTTTGTAAGAATTAACGATCACTTCGAGAGGCGTGACAACTGGCGGATACTGCGACTCTTCGATCACCTTGATTACAACCCAAGCGTCTGAGAACAACGGCGGACTACCGTTATCGAACACTCGTACGTGCAATACGTATTTATCCTTTACTCGGTTGTTAAATTTCGTCGCCGTGCGCAAACTACCGTCCTGCTCCAGTCGAAATGCGTCACCCTCGTTCCCGGATCGAAAATCAAACGTGTACGGAGCGGCGTTCGGCTCGATGTCAGCATCGGTCACCACGAATTGTAAAACCGTATGGCCGAGCGGTTTGTCTTCTTGCACAACGGCCGTATAATTTGACAGAGCGAATAACGGCGGATTATCGTTAGCGTCGAGTATCTCGATGTTAACCATCACGAAGCTCGAGAGCATCGGTATGCCGTTGTCACGCGCGTGAACTTCCAGCACATAGTTTGCGATCTAAAAGAGAAAGTGAAATAGTAGAGTAGTATCTCGTTCTTACGCTAAATATATATGTTCGTGTAACGACAATTATTTTATTATTCAAATACAAACTTCTTCTCGATCCAACGGAGCGGCGACAGCTATTTGTCCGGTTTTCCTGTCGATCGAGAATTGCTTCTGTCTGTCGCCTCGTTCTACATAATACGACACGTTGCCATTCTCTTCACTGTCTAGATCATTTGCATATACCTGAAATTAATTAATATAAAATAAAAAATAAAACATTTTGACATGTAAAATATACTATTTTGCATTTTGCATCGTAACCCAGATAGCCAACTGAGTGCAAGTTGTTGGCAACTTGCCACAAATATTACTCATATGTTTTCAGCAATGTAACAAAAGGGTGTATCCTCTTTTCAGTATGTTCTTGCCAGCAACAGTTTTCAAAATATAATAACAGCAAGTTCTCAACAACTCATCGGCAATAAACTTTATATTATTTTTCTTAACTTATGAATAAAAATTATTGCTCATATATTGCTCACATATTGCTGACTCACATGTCATAAACATTGGCGCTACAACAATTGATTGATAATAAAACTCAGCATATTGATACTGAATTGACAAAAACATTTTCGTTGCGTTAAATAAAAACAACACAACAGCAATTGGCGAGCAACTTAATCTATACGATGATTTGCTTTATACTGAGTTTTCACATTTGGCTATCTGGGTATGACAGTTTGAGATTACGTAGTTGTATTTATTATGATATACGTGAGTGAAGATAATTTAAAAAAACGTGTACAAATTGTATATATATATATATGTACCCAGCAAACAAAATGGTGGCAACGTGCCGGCATTATGCAAGCATGCTTTCATAGCGTGATGTCTCTGTGACTGCCAGATACAAGTTCATCTAGCAAGCATCGCGATGACACGTTACGCTTACCACTCTATGCAAGCTTTGTGCAAGCAGAATGCGCGTCAAATTGAAAAGTGTCGACTTCTGTTGTCATTTATCTCATTATTTTTAGCGTGCCATGATATCAGTTTGCCAGCATACCAACGCGTGGCATCACTGAACAACACTGTACCAATATAATTGTTCACATGGCATGCTTTCACGGCGTTCTGACACGTGATGTTTGCTGGGTATATATCATAACATTGATGATGCGTCTGTAGTGTTCTAGTATGTGTAAAACTTAATAATTGTGTGTGTGAGATATAAATCTAATATTGTACTAAAAAAAACTTACTTGTATAACTTTTTCTCCAATTTTTGCGTCTTCTCTTACGAACGCTCTGTATGAAACTTCACTAAAGATCGGTGCGTTATCGTTGCTATCGGTGACGGTGATATTGACAGTGGCGTGATTGCTGAGCGGTGGAATACCTCCGTCGACAGCTTGAATAGTAAGAAAATAATCGCGAGCCCGTTCGTAGTCCAATTGTTCGACAATGGTAACGACGCCTGTCTTGGCATCTATCTGAAACTTCTTGTGTTCGTTGCCACCAACAATCGAATAATATATATCGGCATTAACTCCCGTATCTCTGGAAGTGGCGAGCACTCGAGCCACCTCGGTACCAACAGCATAGATCTCAGGTACTTTCGCGAAATAAACCTTGGAAGCGAACTCAGGTGGATTGTCATTGATATCTTGCACGTTAACGATAAGCGAAGCAACACCCATCAGCTGTGGTGTACCTTGATCGAGGGCTTGAACCGTAACATTGTACATGGCCTTGGTTTCTCTATCCAGAGGTTTGGCTAAAGTGACTATTCCACTATCCGCTGCTATGAGAAAATGACCGTCCGCAGAATCAATAAATTCGTATCTGATTTTCCGATTGATACCGATATCGTTGTCCGTAGCGTGCACCTTTGTCACTAACGTGCCGACTTCCACGTCTTCGGGCAATGTGCTGCTGTAAGTTTGCATAGTAAACTTTGGCGTGTTATCATTTAGATCTGAAACAAAAATCTCCAACTGAGACGAGCATTCCCAAGTTGGTTTGTCTCGATCTTGCACATGCGCCGTCAGAGAATATTTGGCTTGCGTCTCTCGATCGAGTTGTCCGACAGTTTTCAACACTCCTGTTTCTTTATCTAACGAAAATTTATCGTTATTGTCACCGGTTAAATAAAATCGTAGTTTAGCATTTGGTTCGTCGTCGTAATCGGTTGCCAACACAGTTAAGACATAAGTGCCAGGATGCGAACCCTCGGAAAGTATCTCCCTGTAGCGATATCGAAGACAATACGGGGGATTGTCGTTAACGTCTAGAACCTGTACCGTAACTTTGGTTTCGAAGACATATTTTCCGTCAGTACCGACAATTTCAAGCTCGTAACGATCGATGGTTTCTCTGTCTAAAGATTTCGCCACGTACACCTCGCCGGTAGATCTGATTTGAAATTGCGATCTTGGATCGCCGGATGTTATATAAAATTCCACAGGCGTGTTGACGTCCGAGTCTTTGTCAACGGTGATCAGTCTAACTACAACTGTTCCCGGTAGAGCATCTTCGTTCACCGTGGCCTCGTAACGATCGTCGACAAACGCTGGCGCGTTGTCATTGTAATCCTTTAGCTTGACGTGCACCGAAGTTCTCGCAAAGTGTTTCGGATTCCCATTGTCGGTGGCAACAACCTGAAGAGAAAATTGTTTACACGTCAAATTATTTATACATCGTTTAACATATTTTTGTTGGGAAACATTTCAAGATGTTTAGCGGTATACAATTTACCTGAAATTTATATTCCGGTTGCTTCTCCTTATCGAGTTGAACCAACGTTGATATCCAACCGGTGTAAGCGTCTACAGTGAATACATTCGCTAATTCTCCTATATCGGATCCAAAAGAATAACGTACCTCACCGTTACTACCGAGATCTTTATCGTGTGCGATAACTTTCAATATAGACGTTCCTTCTTCTATATTTTCAGCCAGAGTAATCGCGTAAGGATTGCTCTCGAATTTCGGCGCGTGATCGTTTTCATCCAATACTTGAAGAGAGATCTCGGCGAGAGCTGTGAGAGGCGGACTGGAATCGGTCTCGGCGAGAACACCGATCAAATGACTGTCTTTTAGCTCTCGATCTAACGTTCTCGCTAAAGTAATCTGGCCAGAAGAATCGATCGTAAAGAGCGGATTGTCCTCGTCGCCAGACACAATGCGATACGTCACAGTGCAATTAGTGACGGTTTTGAGTTTTGTAATTGGCGTGCCGACAGACGAGTCTTCTCTTATAAAGAATTTATCTTCTTTTCGCTCGAACAGCGGGGGAATATCGTGCGGACCCATTATATAGATGCTGAGAGGAACATCGGCGTGATGCGTGGTCGTTCCTTTGTCTTCCGCACGAATGAACATTTCGAACAATTGATTTTCTGAAAAGGAATAAAGAATTTTTTTTTTAAAATAAGTTTTCAAAATAGAGACAGAAGAACAAGTTATTTATTTATTTCAACGTGAAGAAATATGTAAAAAATATAAAATATTTCTTCTCACCCAACGGCACGGCGCTCTTCTGCAAATATAGAGCTCCCGTGTCGGGATTTATGCCGAATATAGATCTAACTGGCGACGTTTGTAACTCATAGATCGAATAGACTATTTTCGCAGCTTCGTCTTCGTCTAGATCCTGCGCTTTGACTTTCAGAAACGGTGTGTTCAGAGACAGATTACCCTGAATAGTTGCTTTGTATTCACTGATAAGGAACATAGGCGCATTGTCGTTCTCGTCGCCGACTTTAACTCGCACCATTACAAATCCCGGTCTACCGCCGCCGTCCATAGCTACAACCGGTATCTCGTAACGTTTCTGGATCTCTCGATCGAGCTTTTTGCGCGTCACGATCTCGCCGGTGAGTTTGTTTATATCAAATATCTCTTTCATCATCTCCGACATTATCGCGTACGTCACTACGCCGTATTCGCCAAAGTCCTCGTCCACGGCCAGCACGCTGGTTACCAGTCTACCGGGCAGTTGGTTTTCAAGAACAGTTACCTCGACCACTGGATTCGGGAATTTGGGATTATGACGGTTTGCCGGCAGAATTTCAATCTTGACCCGGGTAAAGCTGGTGTAGACGCCATCAGTCACGGAGACGTTGAGCATGCTAAGCTTCTGTTCGCCGAAATTCTGCATATTGATCAGCGAAATGATTCCGGTTGATTGGTCGATGTTATATGTCTGCTGCTCGTTCCCACCCACAATGGTGTACGTCAGTTTCTCGTCAACATAATCAGGATCGCTTGCGGATACCACTGTCACGAATTGACCACGTTCGGCGTGTTCCGATAAAGAACAAGTGTACGAGGGTTGCTCGAACTTTGGCGGATTGTCATTCATGTCGATTACGGTCACCCAAACGTGAGCCGTGCTCGATAAACTCGGTACGCCGCGATCCATAGCAATCACCGTAAAATGATGAGATTCGTGAGTCTCATGGTCCAGAGATCGCTTGAGAAATATCACACCTTCGTCCGGATCGATGTGAAAGAGATCTGTGCTATTCTCCGTGTCGTTTTGAATGGCGTAACGAACTTGTTGATTTATACCTACAAGTATTTAAATATACAATTTTTATCTCTTACATTCTTTTTCTACAAATATATGTATTAAAAGTATATAAAAGTTAACGGCACCACTGTCACCTGTGTCATTGTCTCTCGAGCTAACTCGCAGAACGGAAGTTCCAAACGGCGCCGCTTCCGACACTGAGATATTGTAGGAATCCTGAGTGAATTCGGGCGGACAATCGTTCACGTCCAGAACGAGGATGCTGACGAGTACCTCCGCATAAACACCCGACACGCTGTCGGTGGCGCGTACAGTCAGTTCGTACTGCTTCTTTTGTTCATAATCCAGTTCATCCACCACATAGATTACACCTGATTTATAATGAAGAGAGAAGAAGATTGTAGAGACCCAAAGCATGTGTGTGCAGCGAAATGTGTGTCTACGTATCCGTTAAAAGTGTTTGTCTACAAGTGTTCCTTCAAAGAACAATTATATGAGAAGCGGAGTGCGTGTGAGAAATTAATCTGCAATATATATATGACAATCTTTACCGATTCGTTGAATTGAATTCGCGATAATTTAAAATTGTATAATAAATTTTAACGCGTAAAATAATATATTTGCGAAACCGAAACCTAGATTAAACCCAGCAAACACAGAATATAAACTGCTATAGAAGTAACAGCGTGATATACGTAATATAACAGCTGTTATTACTCTATTAACATCAATGTTATGTAACTTTTTGTTTTATAAATGTAATATAATTATGTTATATATCTATTATATCGCTTGTTATTAGCCGGTAATGACATTATAACTTTTATATAACATTTTTTTAACTATATAACAATTATATTACATTTTACTTGCATGTTATATTCATATTATATAACTGCAATATACGATAAGTAGGAAATTACAACTAACATGGATGTTACATGCAACGACCATGTTACATTACATGTTACATTTGTTTTATTACGACAATGTTGCTGTTATATATATCTGTGTTTGCTGGGAACGGATCTGTAGACACTGAAAAACACTAACAAATGCGGTCACGCGGTGTAACCACGTTTATTAAAAGAAAAAAATAAATAAATAAACTTGAAACTTTCCGTGAATGATTTGCCAATGCTAATTAATGTCTGCACCTTAAAAGATATTCGTTACATTTGGCAATCGCGATCTCTTGCTTAGACATAACAATTGTTAGATGTTAAAAAAAATTAATTTTCAAATTGTGAAATAATGTGGAAAACAAGTTGAACGGAGTGGAGGGATGGGGTGCTCTCTCTCTCTCTCTCTCTCTCTCTTTCTCTGCATTACTTAAGGTGCAGGCACATCATGCGAGCAGGTTGAAGCTATTGAAATCTCGTGAAGAAAATGGAAATGGATGGGCAAGCACATCCAGGCGAAATATTTATGATGTGTCTAGAGCCCGGGGTCTCTCTCCCCCCGCTCATGGATCGTGGAACGATAGGTGCGTGTAAGCAGCTATTGTGCTCCAAGCTGGTGGTTTCGTGTGGTTTCCATCGCGATTACAATTTAACGAGACTCACTCAGATTACGATCGTGAAAAAAAAAAAAAAAAACGGAGAGCAAGAACAAAATTAATTTCGTGAAATGGTGTACACGTACCAAAGCGGATTACAGAAAGGAAGGAGAAATCCCCTCGAAAAAGCGGATATTACATCTTTTTAAATTAGGAAAAACTCCAAAAAAAAACCTCTCTTCATCCGTTAGTTCCTCGCAAAGAGCATGCAATAAGCTTTATGCCACGTATCAACGATTATAGCTCGAAGCATTTCAAGCTCGTTATTATGGTTTTCAAGATAGCGATGTTCTCCGCGTTAAACACAATTCGTGCATCTGATCAAAAAATCTAATCTAATCTTTTTTTACACGGGCAATAGGGTTATCGTATAAACTTTTTTTGAGATACGTGAAATAATACAAAATAAACAAGTACCAAATGTAATTTAAAAAAAAAAAAAAAAAAATACATTTTACGTAAATTTTACAGCCGATATATTTTACAGATATTACGTGTTAATATTTGAAATGTTATTGCTCATATCTAATTTGAGATAAATGAAAGTTCGTATAACAATGAATAGATATGACGAGATGACGTTGTTATGGTAATTGCATAAGATAATTGAATAGTTTGCGTCGATTAAAATGTTAATTGGAAATGCAATCAAGCACTGTAGGAACTATAATCAACGTGTACATATTCTAAACTCTTAATTAACATCTTCGTGTACATACAAAATTAAAATCTTAATTTTACGTATAATAATAATAATAAAAAATAAAAACTAAAAAACGCGAATGTTGAAAATGAGTAAATTTGGTCGTTGAGAATTCACATACGTGTGATGTGTCATTGAAGTAAGATCGTCCCATTTATACAAAATATGTCTTTGAATTAATAAGAGCAAGCAAAAAATTCAAATCTGGAAAGAAATATTTGAATTTCGACATTATCAAGTCAAAATGCGCGCAGCAAGCTTACCATCTCGTTTTAGTTTATTGAATCTCAGATTTAACCAAATTCAATTCTGTTTGCTCGCGCTTTGTTTCAATTCGTTCGACCCGACCGCAGCAATTCGCTTATGATATTACATCGTGCATGAAACACATAGCGTGGTGTGCAACACAGCGTAGCGACACAGCACAGACCGAAATAGAACTAGAACGTTTTTTTTTATACTCACAAGGACCATTGTTACTGTCGGGGGCTGCGAAACAGGGAGATACAACAAAACTTTAATCTCTAGATTCCAGACAAGCAGTCGTAAAAGATATATATATATATATGTGTGTGGAACAAGTATCACATGATCGCGGAATGATTAAATCTACTATAAAAAATAAACATAAAAATACAAAGATGCTATATACAAATCAGAGAGAACAAAGAAATTAAAAAAGTATACCTTTATCAAAAAGCTAATAAAAATAAAATGAACAATGAGAGATAACGCTTCTGCGAGTCAATGTATTATTTACACAATAAAATCATATTCAATTTTCTCAATAAATGTATTAATAAAATTATTATGTATTAGATAGAAATTATTTTTTTTTTTTACTAGATTTTGTCATTCACCAATTTGTCATCAACATACTCTATTACATATATAGTACTGTTACATAATACTGTATAAATAGAACTTACTAGCCACCTACTATAATACAGCAAAACTTACAAGTTTACTAAATAAAAATTATACATATATTCGGACTTGCAATTTATCATAAGAAACCTTTCCGCGTAATGTGAATAGTGTAAGTCCCATAGCCAAGTTATGAAATAAAAACAGGAATTTTACTCGGTTTTGGACGAATTTCTGTCTCTCTCTCTCTCTCCCCCTCTCCCTCTCCCTCTCCCTTTCTCTCTTTCTCTCTGACATAAAATTAATTTAAAAAATATAACTGTTATACGTGGTTTGTTTTAATTAAAAAGAGATTCAGAGATAGAATACGTTGGCCATGTCGACTACCAATGTTCGTAAATATGATTTACAATATTTTCGCTGCGCAACGATAAAAAATAAAATTGTCAATTATATTACGCGCGCTTCTACTATTTTTTTGTTTTTTTTTTTTTTTTTTCTATACCATACAATCTTCGCAACGTTACGCTATTTCACACGAAGTAATTTTCTGACGCAAAATTCACAGTCATTTGATAGCACATGCCAAGGTAAGTTATCGCATATTTTACTTACCCGTGTTGAAGTCCAGGGCAAACTCTTCAAAATCATTGCCCTTAGTAATGCTGTATATGAGTTTGCGATTCAACGGTGATTCAGCTTGAATGGATAACGCCAGAGGTGAATGTACTTCTATACTTTCGAGCACGCTATCCGTGTAGAATTGCTTGTCAAATACCGGCATCGAGCGATCTATCACCTTCACGTTGACTGGCACCTCAATGGAGCAAGGCGTTGTTGTTCCTGTAATCGTATTTAGAAGCTCATTTAAAATGGGATCAAATAGAAAGCAAGTTAGTTATTGACTTTATATATTTAACAAACTTACCACCGTCGTACGCGGCAATCGTAAGCTGATACTCGCGATTATGACCTTCGAGATTTTGCTTCAACGATATTTCACCCGTTTTCCGGCAAACCTTGAACAGTTCTCCGTGACCCTTCTTCAATTCGTATCTCACCTCGCCGTTATCGCCACTATCCATATCTATCGCGTGAACCTGAATAATAAAAACACAAGCGCATTTACACATTTATTAGATCAAAACTCAAAACTCAGATTGAAAATTAAAAAATTAAATTGATTAAACAAAAAAAAAGTATCTACCTTTGTGATAACGTCGCCCTTTTGAGCGTCGACGGACACAACAGCGTAATAAGGAAGATTAACAAACATCGGACAATTGTCATTGATGTCAAGTATAGTGACATTTACTATAACATGAGCCACTCTAGGCTTCTCCCGATCCGGCGGATGACTTTTCGCTTCGACGATTAATTCGTAATGATCGCACATTTCCCGATCGAATCGTATGCCGGTGGTTCTGATCGCGCCTGAAGTCGGTCCGATTACAAACATATCGGTGGGATTAAGAATTCTGAAGACAATGTGCTCATTCAACGAGCTACCGAGAACGTTCACCACCACCACGGTCGTAATTTTCGTTGAATTTTCTAAAATCGCGCCCTCGTAGACATTTTTCTGAAAAATCAAACCGGAATTCTCCGACTTCTCCACATTTACGTTCACTTGCGCCACACTCGAATATTTTCCATCTGACACTCGTACATGTAGAAGATAGTTCTTCTTCATACGTTCTGGATTATTAACCGTAATAATACCGTTCTGAGCATCTATATCGAAGGTGTGAGCCTTATTCCCGTCGATAATGTCATATCTAGAAAAATATAACATATATTTTAACAATTAGTGATAAATAGAAATTTTACACACACACACACTCAGGCTCTATAAGTCTCTTTTAAACTAATAATATATGAATATAAAGACATGAAGAGCAGGATGTTGTGCGTAAATGTGAGAATATATATATACAGGGTGGCCCACATAAATGTTTACAACTGGATATCTCGGGAACTATACCATCGATTTTAATGGTTGAGATCTTAAATTGTATGGTATTAAAAGATCTTCAAATGTGAATGGAAGTTCGTTTCAAAACTTTAGTTGCTTTGTTGGGGCAAAAGTTAACATAACAATTTTAAATGGAAACCTGTATATGAAATTATATTTACAAACTTCCATTCACATTTGAAGATCTTTTAATACCATACAATTTAAGATCTCAACCATTAAAATCGATGGTATAGTTCCCGAGATATCCAGCTGTAAACATTTATGTGGGCCACCCTGTATATATATTCACGTGTAATATTTTTCACGCGAGTTTTTTTGGAATTGAAATAACAATTCTTTAAATCATATATGATGCTAATTTTGCATCTTATAACATATATTTTATTTATAAAAAAGACGTATAAGACAGGGTCTTGGTTTTTCACTCTATACAGATAATTGTTATCGACAAATGAAACATTTACATTTATAAATATGAAAGAAAAAAAATTAAGTAACAAAGAATCTGTCAACCGAATATCACATTGATGTTTCCGCGGCACGTACCTCAACGCTGCTCCCTCAAAGCTGTCGGGATCCACGGCGTTCACTCGAATGACAGCTACGTTCTTGTACGTTGGCAGTAGAAGCGTAACATTGTAATCAGTCTTGGTAAATTTGGGCGGACAGTCGTTGACATCCGTCACGACAATCACCACTTTGGCAGTGGTTTCAGACGACAGTTTCGGTTTACCCAGATCCGAGACTTTCACGTGAAACGAAAACATTGGTATGGTCTCGTGATCTAGCACCATTACCGTACGAATGGCACCGGTACTTGAATCTATGTGAAAGTACTTTCGCGGCAGATCATCGACGATGTCGTAATTGAGTAACGCATTTAATTCGGAATCCGCGTCCTCGGCCTTGATAACCAACGGCGCGCTTGTGTTGGTCAGCACCAAAGAACCGATGCTGGCACCTTCGCTGATCTCGCCGCTGTACAACGCTTGTAGAAATCGCGGAGCGTTGTCGTTTCTGTCGAGAACGTGGACGATAACATTACAGGTGGCCGACGCGCCGGCCATATTTGTGGCCGATACCGTTAGATTGTAGGACTTGGTCTTTTCGTAATCCAACTGATTCTTGACGACGATCACGCCTGTGCTTGGATTCACGAAGAACGTGTCGTCGCGATTACCACGTACTATCTCGAACTGCAGCGACGACGTGCTTCTCGCCTCCACGTGTTTCACGTATGTGCCCAGCTGTTGGTTCTCGTATATCTCCGCCGACAGTTCCTTATGGATGAACCGCGGTGGTGCGTTGTCGGCCATTGTCACCATCACATGCACCGGCACGTTGTTCGACAGCGCGGGAGACCCGTGATCGTTCGCCTTCACGAGAAGAATATATTCTGACGAGGCGCCAAGATCGAGCTCGCGGGCGACACGTATGTGACCAAGATCGGGATCGATGGCAAACACATTGCCAGCGTTTCCGGACGTGATCGAGTAAGTGATCCGGGCGTTTTCGCCGCGGTCACGATCGATCGCGCACATCTGCACAACCGCTGTGCCGATCGGCGAGGCCTCGTACACCTTGCCCTGAACAAGCCCGTTGATGAACTCGGGTGCGTGATCATTGTGATCGTGCACGGTGACGATTACTCGGGCGTAGTTACGCTTGGCCGGTGTACCCTGATCCTTTACCATAACCGTCAGCACGTGCTCCTCAATGGTTTCCCGATCGAGCGGCTCGTTCAGCGTGATCGAACCGAGAACCGAATCCACGTGGAAGATCTCAAGAGAGGATTGAGTCTGCGCCGCGTGCAAGCTGTAGAAGACCTTCTTGTCCTCGTCCTCGTCGGTCGCGTGCAGCTGGAGAATTTTCTCGCCCTTATCGACATTCTCCGAGATGTCGATGTGATACATGTTCTCAGTGAATTCCGGTCGATGATCGTTGATGTCAATCACGGTAACGAGCAGCTGTGTCAGCGCCGTGTGCACGCCGTCCGTTACGCCGATAGTGAGATTGTAAAAGTTCTGAGTCTCCCAGTCTAGTCTCTTGGCCAGAAGCACGTTGCCATTGTCGCGTCCGATGAAGAATTCGTCGCGTTTGTCGCCGTCTAAAACGCAACCGGTACAATTTATCACACTTCTTTGATTGTAGAGAGAAAGCTCCGATTTTTTTTATCATATTTCAAGTACACGCGCAAGTACATTTGCGCGCTGAACAAATATTATATTAGTTTAAAATTTAGAAAATAAAAATTAACATAAGATATATTAAATTATATAAAATTCGCTCGCAATATTAACAACAAGTATAGAAAAATATATAACAAGGTCTGCTTCGAGCTTTTAATGGATCTTAAAATTTATTTAGAAACAAAAAATGCAAATAAAACGCAAATAAAATTTAACAAATGACAAACGTTTCGGCCCTTACTTGAGCCCCCCCCCCTCTTCAGTGTACAAAGATAAATATAAATATAAATATATAAGTAATCACGTCATATCACAAGGTTCGCAAAAGTAGATGGAAATTGAAAAGAAAAGATGATAGATCTTACATTAGAAGTCCATGGTAGGTTGTTTAAAATGTTTGACTTCATATCCAAAGTCAAGATCAAACGATAAAAATTAACATTGTTTTAGATTTCTATTAATAGAATTGAAAAATAAAATCTTTTAATTCGAATTTTTATTTCGAATTTTATTCGCGAAAGAAAAAGAAATGTAATATTTCAAATGTGTTATATATATATATACGTTGGTTTTTTTCTTACCTAAAATATCGTACCACAAAGAATCACCGTCTTTGTCGGCAGCTTGCACAAGAGCAACCAGAAATCCCGCCTTGTCGCTTTCCGTTACTTCCACGCTTTGATTATTTGTCTTGAACACCGGTGGATTTTCCGATTCTTTCGGCGCCTCTACAACCTGAACGGAAACTCGAGTCTGATGACTACGCGGAGAATCCCCGTGATCGGTTGCTCGTATCTGTAGAATTTCATATGAATATGCAGCGCGCGTGTATGTGTAAAAAAAAAAAAAAAATGTATATATAGAGCGCATATGCAAGAGTCCCCCCGATTTAAATCAAGTTTACACCGTAGAAGTGCCGCTATGAATTTCATATGAATATGCAGCGCGCGTGTATGTGTAAAAAAAAAAAAAAAATGTATATATAGAGCGCATATGCAAGAGTCCCCCCGATTTAAATCAAGTTTACACCGTAGAAGTGCCGCTATGAATATGCGAACATTATAAAGTCAGAAGCTGAGATCCAGCGTGACGTAATTTGCGTAACACGATGCAAATTTACTCCAATTTCTCTTTGCTCCAATTTATATTCTTCGCGACAAAATAAGATTATTTTTTTGTTTTAAAATTATATATCAATCGGTTATATGTAATGTTATTTATTTCAAGTTAAAACTTTTAACACAATTAGTTTATGGTTGGTTACATCAAATCGTAAAGTTCTTTTCTTAATAAATAAATATTATCACATTACTTGCGCACTACCACTCTTACCATCATTTCGAATTCTTGACCAGCTTCGAACCCACGCGCAGAATATACCATTCCCGTGTTCGGATGAATTCTAAATTTGCCCTTGCCTCGACCGCTCTTGATACTATACTGGATTCTTCCGTTCTCACCGATGTCTTTGTCGTAAGCGAGAACCTAACGCAAATTTAAAAAACAGTTATCTTACTGTTGCAAAATGTTGCAGCAAATCCGTCTATATATCTGTGAGCGCAACGGCATATAAAAAAAAAAAAAAATATTTTCAATAGTACATACTAGGAATAATCTATAGTTTTAGTAAAAAAAATAAAATGCTGCAAATAAAATTGATTCCATTAGTACCGTTTGATTTTTCTTGAAAAGCACATCAAATATTTTTTTTTTTATGTTTTTTTCCTTATTTTTTTAATAAATGATATTTCGTTGCATGTTAATACAAGCGTACTGCATACTAAATAAATAATCGCAAGATACGCAATTTACGTATCACTTTCATGTTTCTTACAAGTGTCGAAAGTGCCGACACACAGTGGCATTCACACAGTCCGCATGCGATACGTCGAAAAAAAAAAAAAAAAAAAAAAAAAAAAAAAAAAAACAGAATTATCACAATACAAAAAAAAAAAAAATGTAGCAGCTTTCTCGGTCTATGTCTCAAGCGTGTTAACGATCGCAATCGCGCTAACGTGTCGGGAAGGCTAAATGAAACGAAAAATTGCTGCAGTGCAATTTATGTATAGAGAATGCACGTACGTTCCAGCGAGTGCATTCGCGTGCTATCCTCAGCGAGACGGCGAGTCCGGTGTAAACGAAGAAAAAATATAGTTGTCTATGCGTTACTTTCCGTTGTCTCCACCAATAAACACACACACACACACACACATTCTCTCTCTCTCTCTCTTTCTCTATCCGCCAGAAGCGAGCATTTTTCTCCGTATACGCCGACTCGTTCGTTGCTGCGGGTTAACACCGGGAAAAATTCCTTTTCTCGCACGTGCATCTTCCAGACGTCCAAGCGCGCGGAAAAAAAAAAAAAAAAAACAAGAAATAAAGGCGCAATAAATTTGACTAATTATTCGGCACCCTTGTTCTCGTTCGGCTTGTCTCTCGCGCGTAGAGAAAACTCTCGCCTCAACATCTCTCTTTCGCTTTGTTTTATGCGGCACATGCATTTTCGCACATGCACCAAGACTGCGTTGTTTGCAATTTGAAACTTACATGGGGCGCGCAAGATACAACGTACGTAATATACATATATGTATATATATATATACATATATATATACATATGCGAACACACAATGTGTCCGCGAGTCGTTTTTGCGCTCTATATTTTTCTCCAACGACGCTGAATCGCAGAAATAAGCAGTTTTCGATTGCGTATGTCGTCACAAACGAATGATATGCTGTTCTCGCAAAAAAGATAAGGGTTATATGCACACAGAGATGTAATCTTTCTGACTACGAAGTGTAATAATGGAACACGCAAATATAATCCGCGCCAAGTCCGAGATTTCACGGACAGATTTCTCAAGCTCAAATTCGATATTCTCGATACGGCTGCGTATCGAGATTCTTCCGTGAGCGAATCCTTGAGCGCAACGATATAAGATAGCGGAACATTTTCACAGGGACAGTCTTGTGTATATATACAAAATAAAGGCGAGACATTCAGGAGTACAATACGTATATATATATATATATGAACGAGCATTAAAGAGGTACGAGAATTATTATGCACATATAGAAACAAGGACGGCAAAAAGATACAAAAGTAAAAAAGACAGACAGGAAGTGAGAAGAGGAACGCAGCCAAAGATGCTTAATACTAACATAGATATGTGTATACATTTGTACACACATACACTGTGTGCGTAGGATAAGACAAAAAATCATTCAATCGATCCTCGATCGATCGTGCGGAGCAACTTGAGCCGAACATTCCATAATTATAATTATTACAAAGAAAAATATAAATATATATAATATTGTATATATAGCAAATTATAATTTATTGGCTTCTCGATGCACGACCGATCAAAGTGCGAATTTAGTGCGTGTCACTCTTTTATCGACGGGCAGCGGTAGCATTGAAAAAAAAAAAAAAAAAATGCCACATGATATGTAAAAGATATGAGATAAAAGCGCTCGTANAAAAAAAAAAAAAAAAACAATACAAACAGCTCGAACAAAAATTTAAATTTTTTTCCGACAAGTCTCGCGTAATCAAGTACATAATAAGATAAGATCTGTATTATATTGTATGCTCGCGCGCGCTGCGCCAGGCGCTTAGAGTTTTACGTGCCAAGGTGTCCTTACCCTGAAGATACGATCTCCTGACAGGGTGTCGGGGCTAAATGTCTCCCAAGTCCCGTTCTCTAGTAACATATCGCTCGAAAGGTCGGACTCCCCCGAGCGGTTCCTCGATTTCTGTCGAGAACCAGAGAGGACAGCTTTTAGCCTCAGGACTGTTTCTATCGACGATTCGATTTTTTTTTTCCCTCCCATCCGGAGACGACGACGCGAGCTACGTGTCTGCGCGTCGATCGTTTATCCTAGTTTACCTCCGTCCGCCTGCGACGCCGACGTCGCGACAAGAACGTTTTAAGCGCCGATTCAAAAGTTTCGATTCGATCAAGCGGAAGTTCCAACCCCGGAGCCTCGTAACCGTTTTAAAGCACCGTTGAGACGCGCTTTTGCATAAATTATTTCCGCTTTATATCGCTATGAAGTTCAAGGTTTGGATATATTTATTGAAAATTGCGCGAGAATAAAAGTAAAAATTAATTTTTCGTTCTTAATTATTTGAAAGAGATTCTTTTTAATTCTTTTAAACGCAAAATTGGTAAATATTGTTTTCGCACAAAGTGAAGAAAATTCCTTTGTCTCTCGAAAAATTCGTTTCTCATTTCTCATTGTTGAAAGCTTCTTTCTTTTCGCGCGAACGTGACATCGTTTAAATAAATTTCTAAAAACGCGTATGAAAACGAAGTAACTGTGAACGAGTAACATTAATATCAATGTGTGCGTTCGCGCGTACATAGCTCGAGAAAAATGACCTATACAGAACACCACAACAACACTTGGCGAATTTTTATACGCGTTATCTGCATTAATTAAAACGTAAGGGGTTTTTTTCGCTTTAATTTTTTAATTGTTAAATCTTCAAATATATAGTAAAGTAAAATGTGTTTCTCTTTCAGTGTGTGTGTGCGGCAAGAAAATCTCGCGATCGCGTCTGATTGTAAGCGTGTTTGAATATCGAAGTGTTTTCTGTAAATCTTTCGTCTTTTGAATTGCGTTCTACATCGCGTTTTCAGCGACACCTGCTAATTTAATTTGCTTCCCGACCAATCTCCAGCTCCGATGCTCGTGTTTGCAGCAAATGCGCGACATTCGCGAAGAGTTACCGTTCAGAAGATTTGTCATCGTATTCACAAAAGATTACGAGAGCGAGGAAAAAAGAGGAAAAGAGAAATAAGATGATTTTTTCGATACTATGGGAATCTCGTGCTGGGGAGAGGGGACTCTCTCTCTCTCTCTCTCTCTTTCTCTCTCTCTCTCGTGTGTGTGTGTGTGTGTATATGTGAGCTAAATCTCTACTCTTTTCTATGCGACGATACTCGGTGACGGGTTGCTTTGATCACATCGAGAAGAAAGGTCTCTGATGGGAAAACGATAACGAGAAGCGGGAAGAAAGGAGGAGACGAAGGAGGAACAGTCGCAAGCAGTCTGCGAGCTTCGTGTCGGTGTAATATATCAGACTGTTTTTATGGGCCAAGGGTGTGGCGCTTTTGCGAGTTTCGTGTGTTGTCGGTGAAATACACGCGCGAGGAGATAACGCGAAGTCGTCGTCCTCCGCGACTGACGCAACGTGAATAGAATTTCAAGCTCACGTCGCGAGATGATTCATTATCGCATCGCGGAAACAAATAATGTCAACAGATATAATGCGCGGATATGTATGTACAATGAGCTAC